CGAAGTCAAGTTTTTGGCGTTGTTGCAAAGTAAGAAATATAACAAAAAATTAAAAATATAATCGCATACATCGTATTGTCATATAAGATCAAGATTAACTACTTGGTATCATCTGGCTGAATCAATCGTTTGCTATCATACAATTTGATTGGTTGGACAATACTGGTAGGCCCGACCATACGCCTTTTGGTTGGCCAACTTTGTGGTGTCATCGTGGGCTTGGTCATCCATGCTAGGCAAGTTGACCGATCAAGACTAGTCAGCACATCATACATCTATTGATTAACCGTTTATTTCTTATAGAAAGCCCTAGGTTATGATAGCTTTCATTGGACAAATTCCTAGAGATTTTGAGTGATTCCTTTGTGAACCATCTACACCTGAGTAGGTCAAAATCTTAATTTCTCAAGGCTGCAGCGGTATCCATTCTTCTGTGGATGGATCAGAACATTGCACTTACAAAAAGGAAAAAGCATTGTAGCTAGTTCATTTTGCAAGAGACGGAGAATCATTCCTTCAAGCAATCGACAGGGAAAATTCCCTGTAGTTGCTCACTAAAGTCAGAGGAGGATATGTTGCATATCCATGCAAGAAAACCCTAAGTGCCTATGTGAGATCGTTAGATGAGTGTGACTCGCTATTGATTGTGATCATTCTCATTGCATGATGTATTGTGTCACTATATGTGTTTTTTATGGTACATTTCCTCAACTGGTTGTCCGGCCAAGTTGATGTAGCACATAGCCTCGACCGACCACCCCGACTCATCCGCGTAGCACATTGCCCCGACTGGCCGTCCCAGCCCGGTCGACATGGCACATTGCCTCGACCGTTCGTCGTGGCCCGATCGATCGATCACTTTGGTTTGATGGGCCGCCTTGGCTAGATCGACCGATTTCTTTAGTCCAACCAGTTGCCCCCATCCTGGTTGATCAATCACTTTTCAATCGGTTGCCCCGACCGAGTTGACCGATCATTTTAGTCCAATTGTCCACCTTAGTCTATCTGAGCCCGTTGGCTAAGTTGCCCCAGGTTGACCACCTTGGTTGATTCACCGGGTTAAACAGTCGATTCCACTTGAATAGTGTGTGTTTTACATGTGTATTAGTATTAATTGCATGACTGTAGTAGCATGTTCATCACTTGCATCCTTATTGTGCATCTTTGAGCATATACCATCATATGCTCGCGACGAGTACTTCTGCCTCTCAATGGCACATTACTCCACATCTGCTTCATGACATCCTCTTGCCACTTAACATCACATCACGGGTGGTTCACACTTGCACTTCTCACCTTTATGTGTTTTCTTGTGCAGCAACTTGCATGTTCCATGACTTATACATATGCACGTACAACACTTGGATTTGTGTTTCTCACACATTTATCCCTCACATTCATACATCATGCAAATGGGTGGCTCGTCACCGAGTCAATCCTTTGTATAATTCTCTCCAACTAAAGTTACATCTCTAGACTTTCTACGACATGCCCACTCTATTAGATCACTGCCACCAGGACACACTCATTCTTCGGGTTGCTGCCTCCATGACACACCCACCGTTTCGGGTCACTACCTCCATAGCACACCCATACTTTGGGTCGATGTCTGCACTGCACACCCGTTCTTGAGTCGCTACCTCCACGACACACTCCTCATCAATTTTACAAAATGTTTGCTTGCATTTGCATCTATATGTGTGCATGGGTAGCAAGTCGGGCTCGAACGGCGAGTGACCCTATGTTGGTCGCGATGCCTTAACGAGCATTGCTTGTCAGGTCGATCTTGGTGAGCAATGTGAATTATCACATCGGGATTGACATGAATATGACTGTGCTAAGGATCTAAAAGATCTAACTCATTTCACATTGCATGTTACGGGTATGCATTTAATGACCCTTACTTTAAAACAAAAAATATATTTTGTTATTTATTTTAAAATTATGTGCATAACAAACTAGATCATATGTAAGGCCCTTGGATCTTTAGGATGTGGCTGGTGTGACAACTCCGTCAAAGTCATACATACCCGGAAACTTACCTTGTAGGTGTTGGTTAAGACGCTTCTCATTAGATGGTGTGATAGACTAGGGCTAGGGTGTTGGGAAATATTCAGATGTCTCTGGTTATTGTTCTTTATCAACTTGTTTGTTCTTGTCATGCATAACTTTTGTGTTTTTTGGTGTGCTTTGATATTTTTGGCAATATATTAGGGTGGTCTTCTGCAGGGGTCATGTCATATATATGCGCACGCACATGTAGAATAAAAAGGGGGAGCAACATAATGATTTTTACTAAACCTTCTTCTGCATGCACTGCTTGGCTCCACACCATGCATGGTCCATACATGTTGCATGCTTGTTTCGCTTTCCAGCTGACATTAATTTCATGTTGATCGAGTCCTTTTTTTTTATTATTCATCATGTACCTTTTATAGTCCTAGGAAGGGTTATTATTAGAATAAGGTACAAGCACAGGTTTCAAGGTGCTAGACGAGTAAAACCACGTGACAAGGACTAGGAGTTGTCTACTCATGTCCCGTACATTCATTCTAAATTTCACTTATGTCTAGAATTAGGATCGGATATGTATATATGGAGTCCGACCGCCTATTTTTTTTCTCTTTAAGGATATGTTGCTAACTCAACGACACCAGTCTTTTTATTATTTTACTTGGCTTGTTCTACTATTTTTCTGCATAATTGCATTCTTAAGCTATTTCCCATGTTTCTTTCTGTTTGCATCTAGGATGCTACCAAAATTACAATTTAGGCTCTTTAGGACAATTAAATTGTAAATATTTCTATAAAAATCCTCATAATAATTTCAAGATAAATTTAAATTTAGGATTAAAATTGTCAAGATTTTTTAAAACCTACTTTTACTTTTCTGCATGGCCTTCGGGTCGGTTTTAAAATGGGTTTCATAGGTCGGTTTTAAAATGGGTCGGTTTTAAAATGGGTTTCATAGCATGGTCTTCACCTAATTCATATAATAGGGTCTTCACAATATCTAAGGACCACTCAAGGTAATTGCAACTTTACATGTCCTGAGGAGAAATCCCCGTACTATTTCAAACCCGACTGACCTAACATAAATTTATATTTAGGCGGCTGTCAAGTGCGTTTAGGTTGTTAAAATGCTCCCAACCCAGACGAATATCAATCCATTTTTCGGAAACATTTCCAATTTTTTAGTTGAATCTCCATTTTCTTCTCTTTTTCAAGCGGCATACGAGCCACTTCGGCAAGTAAAAATCCCACCTCTTAGAGCTCGACCTGATATCATATGATAGAGTTTTGTTCCTTTGATTTTAGGGCTATTGAGGTCCCTGTGGATGACACAATTCAAGGATTGCTGATCGGGAATCTCTAGACGTTTTGGGTCAAGTTCCTGCACAACTAGGTATATTTCTAGTAGTTTGGGATGAAGGGTCAATTGTAGCCTACTCGGCTACCTCTACCTTCCAGAGATTACTCCTCTCTTCCTTTAACGACCCTTGTTCAGCCCTGTTGCTTCTTTTTTTTTCCTTCGTTGATATCATCTTGATGACCCGATTACCGATAAGTAGTCGCCCGTTTGAGATACGAGGATTTGTCATCTGTCTTTATGGTCTGGATGTGCTTTAATGTATCGGGATTCTTTGTCGAGATGATTTGGTTACTTCGCAGGCTCCGTATGTCGATGAGTTCATTACTCATGTGGGACCATGAGAGACCCATTCTCTGCCCCGTAGCTTAGCGGAAGCTTTGAAAGTATTAGTGCATTCCCATACAAAATAAACATTATTTAATAACCTTATACTAGTCGTCACTACTAATGTAAGCAAAACTCCTTTGGATCACGAGTATTCTTGGGCAACTCCAAAATGTAATTAATCAAGTGAGATACGTCCACTTGGGAGCACTCTAGACCCCAGAACAAGCAAACACACCAGAATCTCTGTTGTTGGTCGTTTACATAGGTATTCTTTTGCGGATATTGGTTCAAGGTGCTTCTGTCAGATCTTGTTTGGTCTAACATACTATATCTATCCTTGAGAGGTTTATCACACGTAGGTTCTGCACGTTTTCTTTCTCCTTTTTTGTCGCATTTGCTATATGTTTGTCTTTTTTGGTTCCTCTCTTCTCTTGATCATTCACATGATCCAAAAGAGAGACTTATTCGAAAAATGGGTGTAGACGATGATGGACAAAATAACGACTCCTTTAAAATAAAAAAAAATGAACGAAAACAATGCGGACCTTCAACGAACTGCTCGACCTTACAATTATCCAGTATTGTGGTTGCTTGGCCACACCCAAGTGTTCCATGGGTAATATTCATGTACGAACTAGAATGCTCCTGCAGTACCTACGTACTTTAGGGTACAACGTGTAAATGCACAAAGATTCATTCCTATAAATTGGTGTCTATTTCATGAATAAAGATTACACAAATTTATCGTTCATTACTGTGCTATTGCTGTCCCCTCTCTCTCTCTCATCCTTCATGCGTTATATTCCTTAGGCAGACCTCCCATATAAATTGGGATCAACGCTCTTATTTTTACAAATGAGGCATCTAATTTATCTTTTTTTATCACTCTTCAATAATAAAATTCACATTTTCATCTAGGAGTGTAAATTCGGGTAGCTGGTCGGGTTCTAGTCCGACCCGAATAGGATCTATTCGAACCTGACCCGAATAATAAATGGGTTGATAACTAAAACGTGAAACCGACCCAAACTCGAGTTTGACAAGCTAACCCGAACCGGACCCGAAAATTCGTGCTTATTCGGGTCACGTTTCAATTTCGAGTTCAACCTGAATCCGACCCGAATAATAAGCAGATCGAATTTTCTCACTTGAACCTGACTCATAAAAATATTTGGGTCAACCTTAACCCGAATTTTTCGAGTCCCCGAGTCGGAGTTGAAGTGCTGAGTCAATTTTTAATAAGGTGCTCATTTTATGAAAATGAGAGTTGGGTGTGGGATAGTCTGTATGTAAATTTCCGTATAATCTATGCGATTGACCATGCGCATTTCACTGGCACGCAAGACCTGAAATGTATTTAGGTTGCGGGTGAACACCTCTGCATAATTGTGCGCGGATTTGCTTGCGGACGCCCACACATTACTGCATACTTCCAACTTCGTCTTCCAAGCGATTGGATTTGATTTTTGTTATCAGCAAAGCGACACGATCGCGTCGCTCGCCACTCTTCTGGGATAGTAATGGTTGCAAATCCCTAGCCGGCAACCTTTGCGTCACTCTTCAGCGATTGGGAGACCCTTGCAAGAGAGGGATCTACCTAGGGCACCAGTGAAGCTGTGATGGGAATGATGTATGGCAGTGCTGTTCGGCTCGCAACCAAACTCCGGCATCATTTTACTCAGAGAGCTTGTCTCCTTCATTCTCACGCCACCAGCTTCGGTGATACTTCTCTTCAACTGTTATGACTCTTCTCTCTATTTCATAGAAACTTGTGTTCTCTATGTTGGATAACTGTACTGTCATGTCCGGGATGGTGCTGGTTTATTCTGCAATTATGATTATGACTAGCGTATTTCAGATGATTGCAGCAAATAGGAATTGTCATTCTGAATTTAGAATCATTGTAGTGAAATGAAGTAGAAATTACTTTCCATTTATAAGGAGGAATGATCGGCATAAGTCAATAATATGAAAAGATGCTTATTTATCATAACCTGAGGGGTCTGTTCGATTTCAAGTTGTGATAAGTGGTACTTTAATTTTTCGAAGTGAAAATTTGAGAAATTTTGAATAAACTGATTGTGTGCCTATCAGGAAAGTGCAAATTCTTTTATGTTCTTTGATTGTGTAGAAACTGTAAGTTTCTGATGGTGGAATAGTCACTTTGTTCATCTAGACTGCGTATTTTGGTTTTGTGCACCCACTCTAGGTTTAAATTAGTAAAACCCTAAGTAGGGAGGGCACATCCGAACATGTTGTAGTTAAATATTGTCAACTGGAACAAAAATGATTGTAGGAATTTTTATGAATTCTTAAATTTGATGTTGTTCCTATCGACTTCATTTTTGTGCAATTATGTATTTTAAATTATTATGTGTTTATATTGTAAAATCACCTCCTTTTCTCAGAGGTGACAAAAAATAAAAATTTACACAAGGCCCTAATGCCAGGAATATTACTAACCGAAAGCCTTTATTAATTGTTCTCAATTTTGGTAAAATACTTCCTTGGAATCTAGATATTATTATTATTATTATTTATAAAATTTTATGTTCTTTTTATTATGTTTTAAAACTAAATACTTTGATAGATAAATTGTCTGGAATGGCATATTTTTTTCACCGAATCCTGTCATGGTGATGTTAAATCTATGCCAGACTTATTGTTCTTTTGTTAGAATGTTTTAATGGTTGTACCCATGTATTGGGATGAAGGAGCATGCTTTCTACCTGCATTGATATTTTTATTTTCCTTCCTGGTTAAATGAAGTTCTCATATGGTCAGTTAAATATGTTATATTTCTCTTAGTCCTTATTGTGCCTATTAAAATGAGGGCATCATATACTATTTGCTCTAAGAAATCATCGTTTGGCATAAGCATGCAGTTTTTTTAAATCTTATTGGCTGGGAGCAATATCTCAGTGCAATGGTATTGGTTGATATTGGTTTATGATGTCAGATGCATCTTGGTTTATGAGGAGGCTATTAAATTTTGGTATGGAGGAGCAATGATTTGTGCCTTAACTGTTTCTTTTGAGCATGAAAGTAGCTGGCTTATGGAGTCATCCACCTTCATGATTGCACAAAGAGAAGAGTAATCCTTATATATATTTGATTGAAAACTATAAAGATATGGAACTTTATTTTAACTTCTATTTTAAAAGATTCTACTAATATGATATTCAACATCTTCACTATGCAGCGAGCAAATTAATGTGTTTTATTGACCAAATTTAAAAAGAAAAATTTTGACCATGCTTTATGAGGCTAAATTAGGCTTTTTTTGCATGTTATATAAGATTCGAATGTGTTGCTCTATTATTGATATGTATAACTGATTGTGAGATGCTTAATTATCTACCCATCAAAGTCACTTTTGTTGCCTTTTATGTCAGATAAAGAGCACTCATGCTAAGTTCACCTGCAGGATTTAAAGAGGTACCTGAAGAAGAAAAAAGTAAACTAGTTGGTAATGTCTTCAGCAGTGTCGCTTCAAACTATGACCTTATGAATGATCTGATGAGCGGTGGATTGCATAGATTATGGAAGGACAGGTTGGATTTTCTTATCTAATTAAAATTATTTATAACCTAATTTTTGGCCATTAAATATGTGTATTACATATTTGACAAATAATTTTTCAGATTGGTTTCAAAACTTCATCCTTTTACTGGTATGAAGCATCTTGATGTTGCTGGTGGGACAGGTATAAAAAGTTGAAGGAGCATTTACTTATATTCCACACAATTCTTATGTATTTACATATCTAAGGCCTAAACATTCATATTTAAATGCATACCGCTGAAATATTTAACATCCCATCCAAAATATCACAATTACTATCTTTTTAAAAAAGTGAGATACACGTGTAAATATCGATCTTTGGGTTTTAGATATGTAAATACATAAGAATTGTGTGGTATGTATTTAAATTTACCAAATTTGAAATACTCTGTGATTAAACAATTAATTCCACTAATATGTTGCAGTCATTTTATTAGCAATGAATGTTAATGTTAATAAATAACCTGATTCTTATTGGATATTTTTTGAATTATTAGTTTTTTTTTTCCTTTGGTGCATTAATGATATCAAAGAATTTCTTTAAATAGTTTACTTATCAATTGATTATATGTTTAACTGTTTGATTGCTTTCATGCTTTTTTGAATGTGAACCAAGCCATTTTGATTTTCTTTTGAGTGTTGAGTCAAAATTGGGGGGCATCAATAAAGCTTAATGTTCATAAGCAGCTTTTGTTCTGTTTATATATTTTATTTAAGCGTGACTAATTCTATAAGTAAAATGAGCCAATTTTGAATAAGATTTTTTCGCCTCGTTTTCAAATGAATCACTTAATAGCCAAATTGATTATATCTAATTCGATAAGAACTTGATTTATATGCGATATATTATTATATAATATTATTGCAAAACCCATAATTATATGCGTATATAATGCTGATTTATTTCTTGTACATGTTATTAAAATGATTGAATGCACTCTAGAAGTTGTGGACAGCACACATTTTGAGCTTTATGATGCTCAAGTAACAGTACACGATGAAAAACACATCTTTTTTCATGCAATTGTAGCCATGAAATTAAAATATTATTTGCAATTGATGTTCATCGACGTGACTCCTCCATTCTGTTTGGCTTGTGCTCGGCTCGATAGGAAAACAATCGAAAACATGAACTTGGTTTTTTTAACTCGCTGACCAAGTTGAACTCGTTTGCATTTGCCTTTGTTGGTTTATGAACCTGTCTGAAGAATGAACCATCTAGTCCTGTGCAGTTTGTGGTTAATTTCTTACTTTTTTCTTATTAATGCCTTCTTTGGTTTGATCTAATTCTTCTTTGGCTATAGAAGTTTTTTAATTTTTTTGGAATGTACTTTGTATATTTGATTGGTAGTAGTTGTTGGCATGTTTCTTCCCTTTTTTCCAGAAAAAGAAAATCAGCATAAAATTTTGCTGATATGTAGCAATATTTTAGAATTAATGGCTTGTTAATGAAACCGTGCAGGTGATGTAGCTTTTCGTATCCTTCAAAGAATAAAGAGTGTAAGTCACAGTGCCATGCAAAGCAGTCTGGATGACTTCAATGAAGAATCACAAATCTATGTCTGTGACATTAACCCAAATATGTTAGACATAGGAAAGAAGCGTGCCATTGAACAAGGTATCTTTGATGATACTGCCTTGAATTGCGGCCAATTTTGATATAATTTTATATTTTTGTCCCTATTACTTGCATTTGAGCTGGTATGCAGGGTTTTCTGAAGAGAAGTCTCTAGTTTGGCTTGAAGGTGATGCAGAAGCTTTGAAATTTGAGGATAATTCAATGGATGGTTATACTATTGCCTTTGGAATCAGAAATGTAACGCACATAGAGCAGGCACTCTCTGAAGCTTACAGGTGACCTCTATGGGCTAATCTCACACAACTTTTTTGAAAAATGTCATACATGCCACTTAATCCCTATGTATTTACATATCTAACACCTAAAGTTCAGTTTTTACTTGTATGCTATGCATGAAAAGATGTATGATAGTGGTATTTTTTATGTGATATTAAAGATTGTGGCTGTATAAATGTAAAAAAAGTAGAGCTTAGGTGATAAGTAGTTATTGGGCGGTATATATGTTAATGCCCCAACTATTTATGGCCATTCTTAATCCTCGAATCAACACTTCTCTGTAAGACGCCTTGTTTCAGGCACAATAAAAGAGAAATTTCTGGCCATCGGCATCTTTTTTTTTTTGTGTGTGGCAGGCAGGCTAGAAACCTGCCATTTTTTGTGCTCCTGGATCTCATATCATCCACCAGACCAAGTGCGGCTATAAAGTCAAATTAGTGTGTAGTAGCATAGACGCCTTGTTTCAATTCTAGAGAAGTTTCTGAAATTGCAGAATCAGTCTTACAATAAAATGTGGAAATTAATTTATATAACTGCAAAATAAACATATCTCCAGCCGTTGATTTTGTCATTTTTTAATTTTTATCAACTTTGAAGTTTTATAAACGTCAATTAATTTTCAGTTGGCGGTGTATGTCTGAAGGGGATTGAAGGCCTATGGACCTCAAAAATATTTCGGCCTTTTGGAAGTGACAGTTTAAAACATCTACAGGAAACAAATTTCAGACCATAGTTGACATTTCAGAAGGATGGTTAATATTTAGGTAGAAGTATACTATAGTTTGTAGAATTGGGATTATGATACTTTTTTTAATGCATCCCAGTGATTTGGAATGATAAGATGTGGCTTCGTAAAACACTTGAAATCAAGAACAGTGTTGTTGAAAATGAACTTGGTTATTAAATTTGACTTCATACAAACTAAACGAGCTTTTTGTTTGTTCCATAATTTTGTTTACATTTGACAACCTCTAGGGTATTGAAGCGGGGCGGCCGATTTCTTTGCCTGGAATTGAGTCATGTGGAGCAGCCCTTCTTCAAACAAATGTGAGTTATAGTTAGCATGTGCTATTAACTCTGGCTCACTTCTTCTGCATTTTTTCTCAATTTTATCTCTTTTAAATGATAGAACTGCTAAATATTTGATTTTTCATTCATGCATATGAATTTGTTCTGTGGTCTGGGAAAAGGAAATTCATAAAACTTTGTTATTTCCTCTGCAGTTATGACTACTACTCGTTTAATGTGATTCCGGCTATTGGAGAGCTCGTGGCAGGTGATCGAGAGTCTTATCAATATTTGGTTGAGAGCATACGTCGATTCCCTAACCAGGTTTGCTTTTCTCCTTCCTCTTCTTTCCATCCCACCCATGATGAATTTTTTTGATTTAGGCCTTTTTTTTGACACATAATGAAAACAAAGGGCCATTTACACATATACCACAGAATTTCTATGTATTTACATATCAACACCAAAATTTAAAATTTGACATTAATAACACCCAAGTCTTTCATACCACATCAAAAATACCACCATTTTTATTTTTAAAATGTGATACACCTTTTCATGCATGATTGAGGTCGCGTGCATGTAAAAATTGAAGTTTAGGTGTTAGATTTGTAAATACATAGGAATTGAGTGGTATGTATGTAAATCTTTGTTGAGAAAAAATTAGGGCGAAGAAAAACAAGAACGACACAAATCCAGAAGAACACAGAGATTTAATGAGGTTCGACAAAGATGCCTACGTCCTCGGGAGCAGAGCGGCGAGTTCCTTTCAATAATCAGAAAAGATATTACAAAATAGAGGATACCTCCTGTGGTTACTAACAAGTCTTTTTATAACCCTAGGAGTAAACCTTAGGCACAATATGTAATTACAACATTACCCCTGTACCAAACCGCGGGGGGTTTTCCCCCCCCCCCCCCCCCCCGCAAATCATCCCAATGTGGACGGATTCTTTCGCTCCGCTCCGCTCCGCTTCGATCTAGCGTCTCTCCCGATATGGTATATGAGCCATACCATAACAAATCTCCACATTGGCAAATATCCAGTCCCTTAGGAGAAAAATACCTGGGAGTTACAACTGCACCATCGTGGGTTGGGCCACCATGCTTCTCTAGCAACTGCAAACATTCAACAAATCCAAACAATGCAAGAACACAATGCAAGAACTTGTTGATGCTTGGTCAACATATCAGCTGCATTCTCATCAGTATGAACCTTTTGCAACAGTATCTCCCCAGAAGCAATCAACTCTCTGATCTTGTGATACCTGACATCAATGTGCTTGGTTCTCGCATGGTACACCTGGTTCTTAGCCAGATAAATAGCACTCTGACTGTCACAATGCAACTGAACTCCACCTTGCTCAATGCCCAGTTCCTTTATTAGCCCATCAAGCCATAAGGCTTCTTTAGAAGCTTCAACTACTGTCATATACTCTGCTTCAGTTGTAGATAATGCCACAATAGACTGAATTGTTGATTTCCAACATATAGGCCCTCCACCAAGAGTAAACACATACCCAGTTGTAGACCTTCTGCCATCCAAATCACCTGCATAGTCTGAATCAACATACCCCACAACTGAAGGATCATTCTTCTGACTGCCAAAAATAATTCCATGTCCTACAGTACCCTTCAGATACCTGAAAATCCACTTGACTGCTTCCCAATGTCGCCTTCCAGGTTTAGCCATGTATTTGCAGACTTGACTAACAGCATGAGCCAAATCAGGACGAGTACATACCATAACATACATCAA